TAGAAAAATATGGCTAAAAGTTTAGCTATCGACTAATGAACGAAAACCGCAAGTCTTTATCACTTTTTATTCCTAAGTTATTCAAAAACCAAGTGAGTATACACTATATTTTGAAAAATAATTGTTACCCGTCACAGCTGCATTATGAGCCGATATACTAAAGACGGGTGTTGAAGAATTACGAATATCCATTAAATAAACAAAACCATTTTCAGTTGATGCCTGAAATACAAGAGAAGCATTCGGTCTGTGTATCGCTGATTGTACGAGTTAAAAGTAGAAGAGTTGTCAAGTTTGAACTTAACATACTAAATATTGATTTGAATCAAATGTATTCCATATAATTCGTTCGATTTCTGAATCATATGTCCAGCGATTACCGATCTGAGACGAATTTCGACAATCGATTAGACACACTGTCCTAGAAAAACAAACTGATCAATAAAACCTCGTTACTGTGACACTCGATTGTTTACCGATCAGATGAACCGCTAAGTAAGTTTTGAGGTTCGGTTGGATGCCAACATATCGATTGAATCTGAAATATGAACAAAATGGTTACTGAATTCGAGATAATTGACCATTGAGTTTTGGAAGCCATTGTATGTTACTTTCACACACATTACACGAATAAGTTTTTAAGTTGACAATAATGATTCTTACTCACCAACCTGTTTCTCATGAATGTTCTTTATTTGTGCAGCTATTTTCATTTGATTCAAATCCCATAATAATATTGTTTCGTCCGCCGATGAACTGGCTAAAATTTGACGGACAAGTTTGTTCCATTGTAAATCTAACACGGCGTTATCATGCCCTTCCCCACTAGTCGATGAAGTTGTTTTTGACGACGATTTTTTCTTCTAAAGAAAAGAAACAAGACAATGCATATACTCTTTAAACTAAAGAATATGACGTTTTCTTAAACAGAAATGCTTTAGATCTGTTTTTTTATTAGAAAAACAGATCTAAAGCACTTCAGAATTTACCTTTGATTTTCGTTTTTTTTTACCAAATGTATGAAGTGGTTCCAACTGATCGACAAGATCAATATCAAATAATTCAATGACACCTTCCATACTACCCACAGCCACATAATTAACTGAGAAAATAGATGACAAAGGCCTTTACATGAACATGTTATCAAGAATTTCTAAAGAAAAGAGATTCTTTTATGATTTAATCGTACCTGGTTGCGTTTCGTTTCGATCAAAATCAAGCCAAGTTAAACATAATGGCATATTTAGCATGAGAATATCATGATGAACATACAAATAGCCTTCACGATCGTTATAGACTAGAGTATATCAATAAAATTAACAATTATTTATTTGAATGTATGAGGATATCTTTACCATAAACTTCTAAACTTGATGAATCATCTTCGATATGTGCCGCTACAATCAAATTATCATCAGGTTTAATAAAATAATCGTCAGCATCAGAATCTTCGCCCTAAATTGACAATTAGACAAATTTTAGTTGTAAAGCACAAAACTATCACTCACTTCATCTTTAATTTCTAACAATGGATCATCAGTATTTGAAGCATGAACAGCTATCGGACCAATGCCAGGCATATTTAGGTCATCTTCTAAAAAAATAAAAGACAAAAACGTTAAAAATGAGTAATAATGGCAGTATTCTATATAGCATACGTTCGTTATCATAATCATCTAGTTGATAACGTGTTTCAACATCTTGTCCAGCCGTCGTTTCCATTATATTTTTGGAATCTTCCTCTTCTTCATCTTCATCTTCGCTAAAAATATAACAGACTTATTGACAATGTAAGGGAAACAATATGATTTTTGTTAAATTTACCCAAGTGGTTTTCCCAGCATCGTTTCTAGTTCATCTTTTTCGGGTACTAACTACAAACAAAAAATAAATGTAGCGTTAACAACGGTATTATTGGAAAATATCCTTTAGAAATTTACTTTGATCGGCGTCATTTTTCCAGCACCACGCTTAATCCAAACAATCGATGATATTAAATTCATTTTTTGAAATTACTTTTCTCTTATAAAAATCTAGAAAACGAATTGATAGTTTATAGAATTTACAAAAACTTTAGAGAAAAATAGGGACATATTAACGGTCCGCTGTAAAATAAAAAAAACAGCAACTTTTCTTGCAAAAATAGTCTAAATTTCATTTTCTTCCATAATTTTTAGGGTTTAAAAGTCATAAAATTTACTAAGACTTTCAGAAGTAGAAAATGAATATTTTTCAATTATAAAACAGGAAGATTTCTTCTCAGATTTTACGTCGCTGATCGAGGATAGCAAACACACTAGCAGAGTTTTTGACATCGATGTCAGTTTCACTAACGCTGGTTATCTTCTCAACAGAATCAAGTATGAAAATAAACGAGTAACATGTTAGTTATCTCTCTCGGAAAATTTAAATCAGAGAGGAGCTATTCAACTGATTTTGTGCATTAAGTACAGATTTTCTCCTCGATCTCTACTGATGCTCGTCCGTCTAATACGAGGTTAGTTAACTTATGTTAAGTTAATAAAAAAAAGGCACTTGATCCCTTGTCTGGTTGCCATCCGTGACTATTTGCAGATAGTTTTTTCAAACACCTGCTAGAGATATACTACAAAAGCGAGTCATGAAATATGTGAAAAGAATTGTGAATAAATCAGAACTTCACCAAAGATTATGACGAGACTGACAAGAGTTTAGTTTGTAGAATCACCCTTTTGAGTATTTTAATTTTACTGATGTTAAATAAAAATAAAATACAAAACTACAATTTATTGGTAAATGAACGCACTGTTCTTGTCCAAAATGATGGTATCTAATAGAATTTTTGACAAAAAATTGTTATTGACGAATAGCATGTTTCATCCAAATTTATGTTTAATCAACGATAAATTTTACTGTAGAATCAACATCTTTTAAATATCAAGTATTTTTATGTGGGAACAAATTGTATGAGTTTCATCATGCAGTACATTGTTGATACTTTTCCAAAGATTTTCTTTTCTTTTCGAATAATTTTGTTAATTCTATATGGCCGAACATAAGGCTCCACGCATAACTGGACGTGATGTATATTGTTTTCATATTCAAAAATTAACGATTGAACATTAAAACGAGTTTAAAAAAATGATCACCAAATAAACAATTTAGATTCAAGTTCATCAAACAGAAAACGAGCTCGAACTGTAATGACCATATTTTTTTATACTTGAAAAATAGAAAATGGAATTTTGATGTTAAATAAAGAAAAAAATGGGCAACAGAAGATGAGAGGAGGACAAGCTTTTGAAGAAAGACGACGTACGATGCCAGGTAATTTCTATATGATCACTGTTTACAATACTTAAGAACAATACTTACCACGGTACGCAGTTTCAACAAAGTTCGTCTAACTCTCTTATTATTTTCATTTACATCTGTTATAATTATTATTATTATTATTATTTTTGTTTCATAATCGATGAAAAAATCAGAATGAAAATAAACTATCTAGAAAATCAAGAAAATAGCAGCAGAATAATTAGTGCTGTATATCGAACTAGTAAAAACAAGAGAATCTTTTTATGTCAACGTTTTATGAAAGTTTGCTTGTATATAGCACTATGACACAGTTCATCGTATGAACTTCACATTGTAGCAAATGTTATCATTGTCCGTGCTTCTTGAGAAATCAAGAAAATTTCTTACATGTTAACTGTTTTTTCTCTCTTAATATTCAAATAAAATTCAATAATAAATGTTGAATCATTAACGAAAAATAACTGAGCTGTTATTGTTAACAAAACCAAATCATTTCATACGAAGTAAAACTTTTTTTACTGATGAATAACAAAGAGAATACATTGTTCAAAATTGCTGTGCATGTTTACGAATTTTATTTTCAGGTTACATTTCCTTCAACACAAAAACACACGCACAATATGAATAAAATATGATCACAAGAAAAAATAAACGATAAAGAGAAGAAGAAAAAATGTTGAAGTAAATGATGAATGTATTCTGTCATCATGAAACATTTAAATAACAACATTAGAGTATAATAACGAAAAAAACAAAAGAATCGTGTATGTTATAAACAAAAGAATAAATTGCTTGTGTGTTACTCCACAACAATAACAACAACAATAACAACAACAAATTTATTATCAAGAACAGCAGAACACAGCCAGTTGACTTCATTGTAAAAGAAAAACAAAATGGCAGAAAGAGATACTTGTTCATTTCATGAAGAAAAAAAATAACAACAAAAACAAACTGTACTGTGTTCATACAGTGAAAAATAACAAGAAGATTTGGAAAAGAGAAGGTGATCGATCGTTCAAATGCAAAGAAAAAACTCATGGATAAAATATATTCATGCAACATCCTCTCTAACTTTCACATTTACACGTTTAATTTTTGAGAGCAAATTCGTCTTGAATAAGAAAAAAAAGTTATTGTGATAGAGACAAAAAGATGAACCTTTAAGGCTCGAGTATACGACAGATATGTGTCTATGGCTAGAAACGTTTAACATTTAGCTATTGGCGTAAACACAGTACAAAATTTCTAAAACCGACACTGTTCGTGCACTCGTTTAACATAAAGAAAATCTACACCCATTCATTTTGAATCACACAAAGGATAGTTTATCGTGTGGTGTATAAATGATGTATAAGTATATGTTAAACCAAAAATATCTATATACATATATAAAAAGAAATAAAGTTCTATATTACAAACAATTTGTTACAACACCTCGTTGATTTTAAAACAACACTGAAGAATAAATAAAACGTTGAAAGACATTGACGATAATAATAATAGTAATTTATAGAGACAACGGTTGCTTCGTCCATATTAGGAGGATGCATGTTAATATATTCGGGTTAAGTACTATTCAAACTGAACTCTCATTCTGACAATATAGACTTTATACTTCACCTATTATGACAAAAAAGAAATAATAATAATAATACTCATGCAATCGGGAAGAGGAGAACAATTCTCAAGAGTCGGTTACATAAACATCGAGTTTCGAACATAGATTCTTTTTAAAAGACAGGCTGATATGTCGGATTAAAGTTTTCTTTTAATGCTTATGAGAATCAAGATTCAGATTTTTTACAAATATTTCATGTGAAAGAATATCAGCTTTTGTGTTAGCAACTGGATATCTATGTGGTGTTGATTAACAACAATATCATTAGGAAAGATTGCGTGAATGAACGCGGAAGAAAACGGGAAAACAATTGTACTATATAATATAAAGAAAGAGAGAGATAGAAAAGAAAGACTGTTCTTATAAGTGACTTGTTGCTTCATCATGTTTATCAGTATTTATCATTGTTTCTGTTTGATTATTGTTATCCCAATCTTGATATTCATCATCTGTTGATGATTCATCAACATCTTCTTCATCTTCATCATCGATTTTGCCAACATGTTGATCATGTCTAAGATTAAAAAAACAGAAACATTCATTTTTCTCTCATATTACATATTGAAATACTTACTGTACCTACGTTTAAATATGAGTTAACTCATCGTGTCCCTGATACTCATATTTTTACATAGATATAATTTCTACTCTAATTGACAAACATCAAAGAGGTAAGACTATTCGTTAATCTAACTCTAATACTAGCATATTAATAATTCATCTAACATTATGTTCACAGATAAAAGTCTGACTTGAACATGTTTTAGCAGTTAATATTAAACTATCTCATCTACTATAAGTGTATATTACTTCGTTTTTTTGTTTACCGTGTTGTTGCAAATTAGAAATCAAATGTACAGTAAAATAATTTTGAAAAGAAACAATTTCTTTGCATTTGTATATATTACATTACAACAAAGATTGAAGAAAAGATGAAAGAAACAAAATTCAGTTCGATTCACATAGATAGATAAACATAGATGCACACATATCCACTTGCTTTTACTGTTCTTAACAAAATAAATATATATTAGAATACGTGCACAAGAATACGCAAAACGTTTATAAAAAAAAAATCGATTTTTTTTTCTCGAGTATCATTGGTAAACTGCATTTTAAAAAATCAAGAACAATGAGTCTCATACTGTGAGTAAAATAAATTACATCACAACTGAGATTCTCTTTCTATATCAAGATTCAGTCGCCAGCCGGAGATAAAATTCACTGAATAAACGATTTTTCACAAAATGGAGCTATAGCAATTACGACGAAAAAATTATTGCTCAGGAATTATTGGTGGTCGAATCTAGTATTAGTATCGGATTGTCGTCTACTCACTATCGTGCACAGTAGTCTAAAGAACGAGAATTTAAAATAAGGACGAAAAACTACATCGAAAAATACAGATAAACAGAAAAAATATCATTCGTCATCATCATCATCTTTTCGAAATTCGGTCGAATGTACCCATTTTTCAACATTTGAAAGAGATGTTTCGACATTTTTTGATAATTTTTTTACTCTTTTCGATTGTTTTGATGAAGATATATCTGTTTGTTCCACTAATGTCGTTGCATCATCTTCTTCATCAATGTATGCCTCTGTATCGGCTTCATTTCCGGGATCATGTTCATCGATCGATTTTAACCGTATTGTATGTGATGAGACTTCTTCTCTCACATCTTCTTGTTGCAATTGTGGTAGATCACTGGGAGGTGAAGAGTTGATTGTTGATGTTGTAGTCGAACATTCGAGTACATTTTTCACTTGGTCATAATAATCGATTTGTTCTAATTCTGAGTACGGTTGACTTATTTGACTGCAACCAGACGGTGTACGAGAATGACATTTAGTGTGATGAGCACTAAGTACGGAATTTGTGGTGACAATCATGTCAGATGGAACAAAAATCGTTGTAGCACCAGCAGACAGTGTTCGATGATGACCATTCTTTTTAGTTACAACACATTTTGGAATTTGTTCAAATGATCCAGATGAAGCACGAACATGATGAGCACTGGGTATATGTGGTGGAGTGGAAGGTAGACCTAGAAAATATCATATTTGGAAAAAAAAATTCTCAAATTTCAAATAATATTGAAAAATGAGCATTTTTCATTCGTACCATTTAGGGTTGTAATTAATAATGGATCAATATAAATTGTACTTGTATCCGACACATTTCTTGAGTGTGCATAATGAGCGGGCACTTTTGGTAACATTTTGGATAATGATTCTTTTGGTATTTTATTAACAATATATCGTTGTGGTTTTTGTTGCTGTTGATTCTTTTGTTGAAATGTTTTATGTAATAATTTAAAAAATTCTTTACTATTCAAACCAGTATTTGTCAGTTTAGATGATAGTTGTTGTTCTTGCTCTTGTTCTTTATGTAAATTCTCAACGATAGTTTGATATTGTAATTGATTTTCATGCGTCAACTCTAACATTTGTTTATAAAATTGTTCTGTACCACTATAATCAAAGATACCAATAGTAGATATTTTTGATATTTTATTTAAACATCGTCCTAGTTTCTTGCGATTTAATGTGAATACATAGGGTATAGATTGTTTTTCACATAATGTGATTATTTGTTCAATAGCATCATCTAGACCACCTTCGGTTTTAATACGTTCACAATCAGGTGCAATCAAAATACATTTTAAACGATTTAAACGTAAATGTTTTGTTACTTCACGAATACCATGAATATATCTAAATAAACACATATTATGTGTACGTTTGACTGAGTATAAATCAAAACGAAAAATTAGAAACTTTATATATTTATCCATTTCTAAGATATAAGATAATAGTTGCCTTGATAAATGTTAATTTATATTAAATTGATGTATTAACCTACCGTCGTTTTAATTTTGCTTTTTGTGGATTAAGATTTTGTTGTCGATCTTGAAATCGTTTTAATGTCAACAATAATTGAACACAGATTTCATCAAGTGTTCGATCGATAAGTTGATGACAATATTCACGAAAACAGGAGTGATGTAATTGTTTCATTTGTTGAATATCCTGTATGAGAGATTCTGAAGGGGGTGGAGGTTGTGCTGTAAATGGACTAGGATTATAAGATGATTGTTGACTAATCTGTTCATGATCATCACGATTTTCTTCGTCTTGTTCAGTGCATGATGCACTACTACCATTATCATCTTCTTCGTCCATATCTTGAACACTTGTCGAATTAGAAATTTGCGACAAAACATTCAATAATGTGTTAGTTATAAGAGTAGCAGGAGCATGCTTAGTACTAAATAATAACAGAAAAATGATACAAGATAAAGAGCGTATGTGAGGTAGTATGCGTGCATTCATACGTACGAAAACCGTAGTCGAAAGATACACAGAAAAAAATAACAGGGATGAAATATAAAAATAAAATTTTTTGATTATGGTATTCGCACAGCAAAACAAAAGAAAAATGAACACGATAAATATGAGAAAATTGTTCTAGATTTTAAATTCTTTAGTTATTGAAAAAATTTTGTTTGGATTGGATTACTGTTGTTTTTTTAAACTTTTCTGATGTTCAATTTTCTGTTATTACTGTTCGCAACGCTCTCACAACGCTCAACGATCGATTTATACAACACACAAATAAATTAAATACACAAAGAAACAACAATTAACAACACGGTGAAACAAACGACTCGAATTTAAACCGTTTTACTCTTTTTGACCTATGGTTATCTGTACATATGTGCGCACGCTCCTCAAATGAGCATTATGCTACAACACTTACTCGTCATATTGTTGTTTATTACTATCATTTATACTATTATTTAATTCATTATTTGTGTCCAATGATGGTTGTTGTTTCAAAGACAATCGTTGTTTATGGTTTTCTTCTAATTCTTTATTAATAATACGTTTTAATTTTGTCGGTTTACGTCGTTTTGGTTCTTCACGTTCTTTTCCACGTTTCGGCACCGGGTTTGAATCCAATGGATTTGTTTTTATTTGAACAGACGATGAAGATTTTTGTTGACTTTTATTTGCACTTGTCGTATTCAAAGCATTAAACATGTCAGTTAAACGCACAGCATAAGCTGTATTTGCTTTTGGATGAGGTTTCCGATGTGACGATGGCTGAGATTGTTTCTCTATCGTTGTGGGTGGTTCAATTGAAACTAGAAAAAAAAGTTCTAAAGTAGTAAATAACAATAATTATGCAGAGATCTCCAAAAGTGAAAAAGAAAATGATGATTCAATTTCAATACTCAATGATCGATATGGAATTAAAATTTAAGTAAAGATACTTATTACTGTCTTCTACAAAGCATTCAAATTATACATATATCGTTTAATAGTGCCAAAAGTGGCGTTATCTTAATCTGACAGCAGAAAGTTGGTCAAAACTAGAGAATGGAGTGTGAAAAAATGATGATCAAATACGACTCAATGAAAGCGAGTTTCAGTCTTGCTTAAATGATGTACGAAGCAGGTCTCGAAGAGTTTTTGTCTCTTTTTCGTAAGTTTGATTTTTTGTATATTGGTTTTAATTCGAAGATTTCAAACCGCATTTTTCTTTTCTGCTGACTGAATAAGAAAATGCTTGTTTGAAATGAAACAAACGCACTTTTACCCAGAAATTTTTGGCGCCAATAGTAGGGGCTGAAGGACCTATTTCTCATTTTGTAAACCTATCTAGTTTTACCTGTTAAGAGATGTAGCCTCCATTCATACTTCATAGCTAGCCGCCAAAGTGCGAGCTACAAAAGTACGAAGAGCTTTTTGTCGGTCAAACCATTCTTTAATAAAGTTGTCAGTTTTGACTCAAATTCAAAAAAAAACGTTGGTGTCGTAGGTAAACAACAGGGTATTATCCGATGATACCACTTTCGAGACTTGTAAAGGTTTTTCAGAGGGTCTTTTGAAACGAGATTTTCTAGAAAACACTTTTGTAAAAAAATACTGCAAATCATCTGGTTGGATAGAGAATTAAGTTCTGAACAAAATGAGACCTCTCCGAGGTTTCTACGACATCCCGCTGGTAGGGTATTTCATTTTGACTTTTGGCATATCTTGTCGGACCAAAAGATGTCTCTCCGGCAAGTCAGGATCATAGAAACCTCAAAGAGGTCTTATTTTGTTCAGAACTTAATTCTCTATCCAAACAGACGATTTTCAGTATTTTTATTAAAGAGTTTTCTAGAAAACCTGGTTTTCAAAGCCCCACTGAAAAAAACATTGACTTTTTATTGAACTTTACAAGTCCCGGAAGCGATACCATCGGATAATACGCTGTTGTTTATCTACGAAACCAACGCTTTTCTTTGAAACGTCTTCCTTGAACTGTGTTAAAGAATAACTTGATCGTTTTTTAGCGAAAACTGCCTGATTTTCATTAAAATTGAGATATCTTGGGGACGGAGCATTTGTTTCATTTGAAACAAGCGCTTTCTTATTCAATCAGCGAAAGAGATAAAACGCGGTTTGAAATCTTCGAACTGAAACCGGTATTCAAAAAACCAAACTTATTGAAAATTAGTGATTTTTTTAAATTTTAAACTCTTCAGATTATTTCAATTTTTTTACCCTTAAAAAAGTGTTTTAAAGATTAAAACACACATATTCTTCTTAATACGCTCAATATGGTCTATCTAATCATGTATAAATAAACGGAAACAAAAAATGGTGCCCCATTTTGAATTAGTGGCATCTTACTACTCGAGCACTACTACACAAGACTTGAGGTTTTAACTTTGGAGTCGGATTATCTTCTCTCTGACGGTTTTCTAGAAATTCCAGAAAACTTCTATCTTGCAGCTTTACTCAGAAATGGTTAAAAAAATACTTAATTATGGGTAAACTCTTATGTTTAGCACAAATTCAAGGTTCGTCCGTGTATACTATTTAAGGAAAAAGATGGAATTACTCATCTACACTTTCAAATCTGAAACAACCACATTCATAAGACAAATAAATACTATTAATTCATAGAAGTCTGCAAAAACATTACTAACTTGTTTCACAATTTTCAATCCTTTTTTTCTTACCATCTGTTTGATTAGGATCATTTGGGTGTTGTGTAGTATTTTTTACAACTTTTTTCGTTGTTGTTTGTGAATTCGACAACGTTGGAAATGCGCTTTCGTCGTCTAATGCAAATGGAACAATTTTTGACGACGTAAATGAAGGTGTTTCTGTTGTCGCCTGCTCTTGTTGCTTTGTAGTTTTTGTTTTCGATTTCTTTCGTCCATGACGGCGCTGTTTTTGTTGTGCAGACTCTGAAAAAATGTGTAAGTAAAACTATTTATTTATAGTAACATTACTAAGTATGTTACCTGCATCTTGTTGATTATTTGAGTTTAATGATACAGAACGCTGTTGAGTTAAAGGTGATTTTGTTTGATTCGGCGATGTTTTATTTCGTTCATGTGATTTTGATTTTTTATTGTCTGGAGGAGCTTCCTTACGACTTTTCCGAGATGTTTGAGAATGTTGACTTGTTGATCGTTGTTTAGTAATCGCAGGTGATTTGGAAGTCGGAGATGAGGATTTTGGACGAGCAGTGGATACAACTATGTTCCATGACGGTTGAGTACCATTTTGATTTGGTTGACTAAAATACTTAAAAATATTTATATTTCTAAATGCAAGACAAGATGTATTTTTACCTAATATGATTGTTATCGCCGTTGACATGTACATGAGATGTATGTTGTTTGTTGTTAACGGTATGATTATTCGCATTTAGAGGTAAACTAGGAAAATCTTCTTGACGAAATTCAAATGATGTCACATCGTTACTATCAATAAGAGACTGTGCTTGATTATTATTGTGATTAGTATGTTGATCATTATCCATATGATTGAAATCGATATCTCCTACAACATCGTAATCGACATAATCAGAACCATTCCGATCATCATACGAACGAGAATTTGGAATTCTTCTTGTCAAACCTCGACTACGTGTTGGCTGATAATTATTACTATTATCAACTTGATCGTAGGATGAAAAACTACGTTGATGAGAGTTAGAAGATGGAATGCCTATAAAATAGTGGATAAAAAAATATTTATTGCGCTACGAATTTCTCCTCTTTCTACGGTAACCTTAATATATAACGGGTAATGCAAAAGTTTTTTTCTTTTTTGTTTCCACTATTGCTTTCTCCCAAAACATCCGGAAGGGTTAATTGTTTCTCCGTTGGAAAGACCGAAATCTGAACTTCAAAAAAACATATGAAACAAAACTTTTGTGATTGAATTTGAGTGAGAAAAAATTTAAATACCAAATGCCGCCAAAAAGCTCTTGTAAAGTGCTTTTTTCTTTATTTTTTTACTATAGCCTGAAGAAATAAGCTTTTTTGGAAATCAGATCGATCAGAATGTAGCCTCTGCAAAACTGTATCGATCGCCCTACTTCTAAAAGTTTTTCAGTGATGTCTTAATACAAAAAACGGTGTATTATGAAACCCAGTTTTGGTAGAAAGCTTCATTTTGCATGAGAAAGATGGTGCATCGTGAAACTAATGAGAAATTTGCGAATTTCTGCTTGAAAAGTAGATTGAAAGATAATTTATCGTACCCTATTCGAAAGAGCGACAAAAACACTTCTGGTTTCTATAAATACATGATTTCAAATGTATTCTGTTATGAGGAAAGGAAAACGTTGTTGAGAAAGAGATGTTCCAAGAGTGCGAAAATTACAAGAGCTTTTTGGCGACATTTGGTATTTAAATTTTTTCTCACTCAAATTCAATCACAAAAGTTTTGTTTCATATGTTTTTTTGAAGTTCAGATTTCGGTCTTTCCAACGGAGAAACAATTAACCCTTCCGGATGTTTTGGGAGAAAGCAATAGTGGAAACAAAAAAGAAAAAAACTTTTGCATCACCAGTTACATACGTTTTGATTGAGTTGAATTTGTTAAATCATTTTTATTCTGTGATAGGTGTGGTGATTGAGAATAAGGACCATTGAAGAATGCTGAATTCCGATCATTATAACGTTGTGATTGATCGTAGGATCCTCGACCTCTGCTACTGTTATAATTTTGACTACTACCGTAACGACGATAAGATGAAGATGATGTGGGTGATCTATTGTTATGTTGATAATCAGAGTTTTCAATTGAAGAATTGTAAAAATTATTATTTGGTCGATAGCTACCACCTCTACCACGTAAGTAAGATGAACTAGTACCCCGAGACGATCGCCCACCATCACGCCTTGGTATGGATGATTGTTGGTGCAATTGATCATTGTGTTGTTTATAACGATTGTGAGACTGCCCTTGTTGATGTAAATTACCTGTGTCAGACCGAAAAAAATGTTAATGGATAAAAAGGATAAACTATTACAACTTACATATTTGTAATGATTGTGGAGGTAGTTGAGGTTGAAGAGAAAAACTGACTAACTGTGGCTGTTGTTGATCGATAATATCATACGGATGAGCATAATACGGAGGCGGTTCATTTGGCGTTAAACCTAGAAGAGAAAAAGTTGAGAAAGATTGAGTTTTAAAGCTTCTGCACATAGCTGAAGAGAATAAGTACTATAGCTGTTGACATTTATAGGACTTCACTCAGAAGCTCTCAAGTTAATTTATTACTTGTGGTATAAAGAATTTGTGCTGACGAAGGCATTGTTTGTGGATAATTTGGATATGGAATGTTTGTTGGCAAGAGAATAATTTGTGATTGTTGTTGAGCAATGGGCGATGTAGATGATGTCGATGATGAGCTAGGCACTTGAGATGATTCAATGTTGAATTGTTGTGTCTGACGTTGTTGAATGTGTAATTCAATTTCTGGTAAATGAGATAACTGCGTTTTGCTCATATCTAGACACGTTGTTTGAGTCGGATACAATAACGACGTTCCAGGCATACCGCTAACATAAATGGTCGTGGTTGAACCGAGACTAACTGGATCAACAGAATCGCAGTATCCTAATGTAGGGATTTGAGATGGAATAAATTCTTTGGCTGTCGCAGATAAAGCCGATGGTGTCGACGTCATGATTGTCTAAACAAATCTTTGATCTAGTACGACTGAAAGTTGTCTTATTTATTTCTCTAATATATACCTGAACAATTTGTTTTAAAAATAACCCTAATTTACAAAAAATAATAAGCTTTTCTAAGTTTTTCAGGTTATTCGTGCCACGAAAACATTCTTTTCTATTAAAAAGAAACCATATTCATTAAGCGAACGACGGAATCTGAAAAAAAAAGGGAAAATAATATTTAATAAATTCTACTGCTCGATTGGCATAACTTATATATCCTTATAAAGCTGACGCCAAGAAAATGTTCAAAAGAAAATACGCACAGTAGGACTACATCGACATTGTTTCCGCTCAAAATAAAAGAATTCAGCAGAATGCTGCTTTCTCAAAGTCATCTGCGACCTATAATACTAATGACTCGAGCCAAACAGAAGAAACTATAAATAGAGAAATAAAAAAAAAAGAAGTAAATTAGTGTACAAAACAGAGAGATACGAAAAAAAGAATAATAAATAAAAAATAAAAATAAAGAGTAATAATACTGGATTTGTTCTTAACTGTAAATATGACTACGTTCAACTGTAAAGCTGCTGATATAAAGCTATTTTAAATGATAATAAGAAGAACGAATGACTGACTTCGGAAGATTATTCCAGTCAGTGACAATTGAATGAAAGAATCACTTCAACGTATGAATTACCCGAAAAGATATGAAATGAGGATGAGGACGGTAGTTTTTTCAAGCAGGAAAACGAAGTTTGTTGTCTTCTCGTCGCTCTAGGCCTAAAACATTTATCGCCATACATCAGACAAGAAGAACTTCATGTGATGAAACAGACTCTAAAGTTTAACAAAATAAGCATCGTAAACCAAGACATTTCGTCAGAATCAACTGCTAGGAGTAATACTTTAGAATAAACACAGTGTTCGGATTGTTAAGTTAGTTGTGATTATTTTTTCGCATCTAGCAATTTCCTATTAATTGGTCTTGTCTAACCTGGCATCACCGTTTTTAATAGATTTTTCTACTGGTATGAACATCACAGTGGATGCTAACACCATTGTAGTTGCTAGCATAGCTTTACCCGAGGTTTATAGTGAGAAACAGTGAAAATTTTAATCTCACGATGGAAAGTATCGTCGACTTCAATTTGATTCATGATGAATAATAGTGGAAGATATTTCTTTCGTAGTTGTTTCGTGCGTATCAGTATAGTTGAAAGTTACCTGCCAGAAATGGCCGCTAGCAATAATAATTTTTCTTTTCTTTTTCTCTTTTTGTTGAATAAAAATTCGACCAATCTCTATATACTCGACTGGGTGTATTAGCCGATTAGATCTATGCATTCTGTTTCCTATCTGGCATATATAAAGCAATTTTCTCTTTTGCTTTTTAGCTTTAACTCCTTCTCTCTATAACTACGTAAGACCCTAGACTAAGGTCAAGACTACAGCTCAGCTTATCCAACTGATGCGATCATTCGGACATTTTAAAATGGTGAATCACCATCTTATTACTAACTTACTAAAATGTACTACAGTCATTGAAAATAAACCTTCTTTCGTTTTAAACGAAAATCAAAACCAGTTACGTTAGAGGACGTTAGCAGTAACGTGCAGTGTATTTAATCACCGCCATGTGAATGGCTACAGCAATTTCAATTGGACGAAAATATTTGACATGGCTCACATACAATCAATTCTTATAGTGGTATCATACATCCATACCATATCATATTGATCGACAGTGCTTTGGCACAACTATTGCGATTAAGTATGCGTGTTCCGAGTACGTTCAGCATTTATTTAGTATTCGTTGGTAGAGAAGTATCAAATTCAAAAGTTCATAATTAATTCTAAAGGGTAATGCTCTACAAGCACAATTCCATATAACAATTCGTAAAATCGATTGCATTATGAATAATCAAGAAAAAGTAAGAAATATTGTAATGATTATTTTTCTTTGCGCCGCATTCTCTAAGAAAGGGAGTAGTGGAGTCTTAAAAGTAGCGGTAGTTATGGTGGTTATAAATCACCATACTATGAAAAATTCACAAGAAGAGTTTTTAGAGTTGTAAAACTTTCGTCAAAACAAATCTTTCTGGAAATACTTTGTAGAGTTTATACGTGAAAGGTGTCTGTAATGCTATTTTGTCGATCATAACATTGTGTCACAGCGTTAAGTCGATTCAGATTATTAATATTTATTCATTTGTCTTTTTTTAGGAAGTTGTTTTTTTATCTGATCAATCGTATTATCCTTTACACGACCTAATTCGCTCGACTGCACTCGACGATCGGCAGAAATGTATCGAATTATATCGCCTGTCTTCTTTTGAATCTGTTGATATAAACGAACAAGATAGCGAACAACGAACAATTTTACATGTGATTATTATCGAAAAACGATTACAATTATTACAATGTATTTTACAAAATGGTGCCGATATATTGAAACGAGATTGCGTAAAATATTTATAACAATGGCGTATTGTTAGTTTCTAGTTTTCAAAGTTATTCTTTCTAGAAAGGTTTGACCGCGTATGATTATGCCAAAAATTTATCATCGTACGATCGTTCCATTGCTTTACAAACTATGGCCTTATATTTTGTGAGTTTGATGATATACGGTTGGTACAGATAATATTGAATCTCTTCTTATTTAGCCTTCATACTGGATGGCTATTGCTAATCATGATATTGGAGCTATTCGAAAATTAGTCAATGCTTGGTGTCGTTTAGATCAATTAATTGTAAAATATTTTTGATTCGATGTTTACAAAGTCACTGTTTGTTTCTATTTTTCAGGAAAACAAGACATTATTAACATACGCCAAAGAGAAAGAATTTCATACTTGTCTTGATTTGTTAACGAAAATTAAACCAACTTTAGTAAGAATATTTTCTTTTGCAGATATGCATGGTTAATATATTTGTGTTTTAGGATATGGCATTTGCAATTATGGGACATGATGTAATGACAATAAAGAATATTCTTAAGGAAAACTCTGTTAATTTGAGTTTTCGAAATCTCGTAAGTAGAAAAACTTCAGGTATACCAATATTTGAGAACACTAACTGTTTTATTTTCAAAATAATATTCTACTAGGCTGCAAATGGTGCAACATTACGCTATTATATTATGCAAGCGAATAATCTTGAGTTGATAAAGATTGTTTTAAATGATAAATGCAATAATCTAAATGAATTAATGTGGGATGATGACGGAAATGAATTGCCAGTTTACTTTACAATGTTTTCTTCATCTCGTCTCAGTGATGAAGTTATTTTACGTTTAACACCAAAATGGAAAGAAGCACCCTATTCAGGAGATTTGAGTTCATTGCGTTATAGGGTAATTATGCATAAACCATTCCTCAGATTAATACGTTATCCTGAATAGAAGGCCAGTTTGGAGCGAAGTTTTTATTTCATAATCGTTCTATGGGGAGTTGTAGCACGATTTTTTAAAGAAAAATGTTCGTGAATGTGTGAAATAATAATAGAAAGCCACGACCTACTATTCTGGAAGAGGAGCTACTAAAATGTTTACTTGTCAAAGGGGGCTTATATTTGTTTTATTATTTCTTTAGGGTTTATCATTTCTATGGTTTGCTATTCAAAATAATGTCAATTTCAATCTATTAAAAATCTTACTTAGCTCAGATTATTGTCAAAATGAATTATTATCTAACAGAAACAAAGTGATTTTAGTTAAATAGTCTAATAAATTGTTGTTTATAAATTATTATTTTTAGAATAACAAAACAATTCGTGATTGGGCAATTGACGAACAAAATGGCGAGCTTCTAGCATTTATCGATGGTGTATGTATTGAGTACTCTGTCTGTTTCTTATAGACAGTATTACCTAGTTACTATTTAGATAATAAAAGATTATGTGATAAATAATCGAACGTTTCGAAACAGTTTGATTTACAATGGATATCAAATTAATTATATACTTGAAGAGGTAAATAATAGTAAGATATTGTTGTAAAATTTGACATCTAAAATACGATTATTTTTTATCATTTTATTTTTAGCTACTTCAATCCAATGAAAAATTTACGAATGAATCTTATTCATTCCAGGAATATATAGATGCTGTTCGAATATATACGGTAAATTGATGTTTGATGTCATATTTTATCTTCAACGGCTGTTCATTTTTACTTTTAGAATCAAATTTCTCAATTACATCGTTGTGTTGATAACAATTGTAGTTTAGATTTGTTAAAACAATGTTTGTTTGTTGAAAATAGTTTTGATTTACCAAATAATCTGATTTTATCTAGAGAAATTGTATGTTAAATAAAAAGCATTTTCAACACACAAACTTAGACTTTCATATTTGTAGGGCAATTATCAGACAATAATTCATAAACTTGTTTTACAGCAAAATTATCCGTTATTAGAATATTTATTTGAGCACTATTCACATATTATTGGAAAGTTTGATATGATAAGAGATCACGTAAGCTCGCATTTACTTGATTATATAGTGCTTTTTCCTAAGAGAGAAGGGTTTCAACATGTTTCTGTAAGTCAGGTTCTCTGGAAGATCTCTGGAAAGCCCAGGTCATACCTCAGAAGCCCGAATTAGAAAGTCATTGACTTTTTTTCATGGATAGATATTTCAGAGTATATTCTTCGAAATGGGAGTCAAATAATCTCTTGATTTTTTAACGTTTATATATGGCATCGAAGGAAATCCGCTGTACAGGACTGGTACCTGGTCACTATTGGTAAACTCAAAAGGAATGGGTTGTAGACAATTAGTAATGCTGAATCATCTAGCAATGTTTGTTTTTACAGAAGTATTTAAAAGTCTACTACGGGCTTATGAAGGGAGGATCCTAAGCTGCAAATTGTTTTTTCAATGAAACTAGGTGGACTGTATGGAATTGATGGCGCTGATTCTAAATATGAACATCAGAGTTATCCTTAGACTTTTATTGACCGGTTTTCTGAAAACTGGATCTTCAGAAAACCAGGGAGCGAATCCAAATTTTTTTTCTAAATCGGCCATTTTGTAGAGGACACAAAACTGTCGATGATCCACAAGTTTTATTTTTTCAAAGCCAAAATCAACAGCGTAGGAAAATTCCCCAAAAGAGTGGCTACTTGTTTTAATAGTAAAATGTTGCAGTAGGATACTTTGCAAAAATCATAGCACCGTTCACTGGTATTTTGAAAAACTAAAACTTATGGATCATGGACAGTTTTGTGTCCTCTATAAAATGATCGATTCAGCAAAATTTCTGGATTTGGTTCCTGGTTTTCTGAAAATCCATTTTCCAGAAGAACGGTCAATAAAAGTCTAAGGGTAACTCACTCAAAACCATTCGAAACCACATCGAACCTTTAGGACAGACTCATTTTCATATGCTTAACATCGTTCTATAACTGAAAAAGGAAATAAGTATTTGTGATGAATTTTATTGACAATCATCTGAAAATTTATTATAGTTTCAATGGTGCTTTCAATTATTTAGTCTATCACTTTTTGTTCTTGAGTTATTTAAAAAACAGCCACAGTCGTATAATTTGAAAAGAATAATAGAACTTTGGTCTATATTATAAATTAATTGACTCTTAATTTTGTTTGATATTCTAGTGTAATCGTACACCGTATCATTATGCTTGTGGTTTATTATTTAATGATATCCAAAAACTTTTATCTCAATTTGGTGCATCTGATTTTGTTACAGATAAGGTATACATGATTAATTTCTTTATTTTTAAACTTATCTAATAATATTCTTCTCTCTCTTTTTTAGGATGGTAAATCACCATTAGACTTTGAAGTACGTAGAACGTCTCCAGAAGTACAACAGTTATTACTATCTCAGTTAGAAAATTCTCCAGAGCCGAATCCATGGACAGATGATGTTTGGTATCGTTTACAAACAGAAACGCGTATAAATAATTTACGAAAACTTTCCTATTATTCTCTATGTGATTGGAATCAAAATCATTCAGAATTAATTGGTTTTAAATTTATGCCTGCTTGTAAATGGTTGACAACAACGTTGAGAGAATTATCAATATCTAGTAGTCATAGTGATGAATCAGAATGTAGTATATGTTGTTCATCGTCGTTAAGTGAAATAGAATATGCGTTAATCGAAAATGAAGAGGATACCGACAGTGATCTAAATAGACAAGAACGTCGGTTAAAACGTAAACGAAGTCAATGGTGTAGTCTATCATAAAGATACAACATTCTCTTATTTCTTTCTAGTCCATAAACGAATCTTTTTGTGCAACGATTTCAGATTTTTTTTTCTTCTTGTAATGTGCAAAAGTCATATTGTTCTTATCCGTTTATATTGTGTAATAATCGTTATAAAGCATTGTTTATGGGTACAGTCAATTTTTTTCTAGTCTTATTTTTAGCGTAGTTGGCGTCTAACAGTGTATATTTTTGATATTGTACATTTGTCGTTATTGGTTTTTGATATAATAAATATGCAATACTAATCAGCATTTCAAATTAGGGTGGAAATTTTAGACTGTTTACCAAAAATTTTTGTCCTACTTCACTTGACACTGTCTGGTTAAAATTTTAGTTTGGGGTGAGCGATTGTCTAAAATTGTTCCACTTTTGCCAAGAATAATCGAAACACATCTAACATTTTTTTTTTGCCTTTTGAACCTAATATCTATCACACAGTTCTATTGCTGCTATTATTCTTTTCAATTCAAATCAGATAGTCGTTCATTCGCTGAAAAACTGTATGTGAATAAAGAAAGTCCACTTCAGTCGAACACATTGTGACAATTAATAAAGTACAACTAATTGTTATTATTATATTTTTAAGATCTTAAAAAATAATGGCATTGGCTAGTGTTTGGGGTTATAAATCAAATGATGATTTTTCTCGTTCTATTAAATGTTCAAAAGTTGACGATGGTATTGATCAACTCGATGAAAAATTAAACATTGAAAATATATCAAAATTTATAACATTACCACCATTTTCAGATGTAAGCATAAGAAGTGTATTTTTTGTATGCCTCTCATTGTTTTTTGTCTTATTTTCTAGCCCGCAAAATATTTGAAAATGGTTAATGATAATGTTGATCGTGTTCGAATACAATTTTTGAAAGGAACAACAACACTTGCATTTAAATTTCGAAATGGTGTAATTGTCGCTGTTGACAGTCGAGCAACAGCTGGAGGATTTATTGGTAAGATATCAAATAGATAGTGAGAAATATATGAAACAATATTTATTGATCTTGTGTCTATAGCATCTGGTGAAGTTAAAAAAGTAATTGAAATAAATCCATATTTATTGGGAACCATGGCTGGTGGTGCAGCTGATTGCGCATTTTGGGAAAGAGTATTAGCTCGCCATTGTCGGTATGTATACATATTCATCCTTTTTTAGTAATATCAAAACGTATTTCATCTTCTTGATAGGATCTACGAGTTGCGTAATAAAGAAAAAATATCTGTTGCTGCCGCATCAAAAATATTAGCAAATATGATATTTGAATACAGAGGAATGGGATTATCAATGGGGACAATGATTGTAGGATGGGACAAAAGAGTATGTATCCTTTCTTGATGATTCAGAGAAGTGACGGAGTCAGGTTACAATATGTAGTCTTTTTTTATTTGTTGTCGTGTATCTTGAGTTCGGTTTCGATTTTTTGCAGGGTCCCGGTTTGTACATGGTATCTGATGATGGTGAACGTATTAGTGACAATTTATTTTCTGTCGGTAGTGGATCGATTTACGCTTACAGTGTACTGGATGCTGGTTATAAGTAAATGATGTTCATTTTTTCTACTCTCTAACATAGACTCTCAGCTACGTGACAGATTTGTGTATATTTACTGCTTTGTGAGTAATCATCTGTTAATAATTAGAAATATTCCTCGATTCTTCATTGAGTAGAATCAAGGTAACTATGATTTTTTCTAGCGTTCTACTTTCTTCCTGTTTGTGTGTTTTAGATATGAAATGAGTACAGCTGATGCAATTGATTTGGGTCGTCGTGCTATTGTTCATGCTGCTCATCGGGATGCTGCATCAGGAAATATTGTCAGAAGTAGGTGGTGTTTTGTGAGCTCGAAAATACACGTATTTTCATATTTTGTTGTTTTGTTTAGTATATCATATGAAAGAGACTGGTTGGGAAAAAATCGAAGAAGAAGATACAAACAATTATATGTATCGCTATAGACAAGATGAAACAATGAACTTTTAGTATAAACAAAACGTATTAGGCACACTTCTACTCTAGATACATTGTTGTTTTTGTTGTTGTTTTTTTATGACTCATTTAAAAAAAGAGGAAATCAACGCTATAAAATTCATACACTCGCAAGAACATATAGTTCAAACAAACTAATGATTCGAATGTTCATTTCCTTAAGAAAGCACTGTTTCTTACATTTATTTAACAGCGTGTAAGAAACAAGAATTATTCTTCGTTATCGTATACATGTGAATATTTTAAGCTCAAATTGAATAACAATAACAAAAACTAGTGATCCTCTTCTGGATTTAAAGTTAAAACTCCCATGTCTTTATGATGACTTTTAATTTTTTAACCAGAGAAGATAGTATAAAGCGTGCCTTACGGATGTCTTACTTGTGATGTACTAGAAAAGAAGTAGAAGAAACGTTGACTTGAGTTTGAATGGAAGTAGTCAAAATATAGTCTAGGATAAAGAAAGTCTCATTCTTTTAACCAGATTAAAGCATTTGAGAATCTACAAAATTGGATAATTTTTTACATCTGTTTTGCTCTCTTAGTGTTTTTTCTATGTTATTTCCATATTTTGTTTTTGGGTAGTGAGAAGAAGAGAAGAGTTTAATGATCAGTCTCTTTGAATTGAAGTAGATTTTGGTATTTTTAATTTGTACAAGATCAAGAAGACCTTTTTTATTGTATACAGAACGTCAACATGTTTATGTCAATCATACCACCTGATGACATTTACATGTTTTTTGAATTAATGGAAGAACATAAAAACATGTGGTTGACTAACATATATTATATACACACGATATAATTTGTTTTATATCAGCATATAACATTAATATGATGTTCTATATTGACAACAATAAAAAAACATAACTGAATGTCGTCGTAACATACATATCATTTCTAACTGCACGGCCGTGAGTATTTTGACTCGATAAGAAACAGCGCCCTCTCAAGGAAATAAACGCTTGACTGATTGAACGTGAAAAGCTAGTTTTGTCCTATGTTGTATCGTTCAGATTAGAGATGTGCACGGGTACCGTTTTCCGACCCGTACCCGACTCAAAAATTTTTTTTCCATCTGTACCCGACCCATACCGGACTTATGCCTAAAAATTTTCTCTTTTTTGATTTCCAGCTAAAAACTTTTTTTTTTCGGCTGGAGATAGCAAGTTATCATTACGTTCTCCAGTAACTCTTTTAAAACTTCATGTCATTTTGTGAGTTTCTACTAAAGCCTTTCGGTTTTCGTGTAAATTATAAAAGAACGGAACCCGTACCCAACGTCCGAGTCGGATTGAACACATGTAGTTCAAATAGTACTACTTGAGTATTTATCTGAAATGTGATCTCCTACAGAGATCAGTTTTAGATTATCACTTGTTTCTGTTGAAATTCTTTTTAATGTTTTAGTCGTTGATTTAAACTTTATTTACTTAATCCTTTCTTGCCCTATGGCTCCTATAGGGACCATTTTATAAAAGTTTAGTTCACTTGAAATAGCGAATGTCTCGCAACACTAAGCGTTCTTTATCTCATAGGGTACAGTCTATGACCAACGTCTCAACCTGTGCCCTACCCTACCCTATAAAAATGTTTCGTACCCTTAACCTACCCTACCCTAATAGGACAGGGTAGGGTAGGATCATCCTGCACACCTCTATTGTCCGTCAGAACCGTCCGGTTTAGCCAAAGGCAGGAAAGGATTGAAGGAAGAAAACACCAGCACGTACCGAAATACACATTATAAGCCTTTTCAATACTTTCATTGATTTGGAAGAGAAAAAACGAGAAAAGAAAAGGAAAAGGAAAAGGAAAAGATAAAAATAACATGAACTAATAATGATAAATAAGGAACACAAATGAAAGCAAGTAAGCACGAAAAGTAGTGAGAAGTACGAAAGAAAAGTAGAAGAATGACTAATACAGCTGATCCTGTGCATACATTACATTACCAATTTACTTTATTTATTACAAATCTGCTATCGATGGTAATTTCATGTATTATTGTCATTTGATGTAAGTACTGATAAAACACGAAAAGATTTCTAGTCAAGTGGGATGAAACGCTAATTCCAATGATAAAAAATGTACAATAGAGAGACTTAGCCGTGATCATCTATGACAGTAGTGAGAGGAGTGGAATTCCTGTGTAGTCTGAGTTGTACACTAATTGTTGTTCTGTGTTAGCTTGGTAAATATTTTGGAAATCGGCATTGTACAAATCTGATATGTTATTTTTCAATGGCTGAGACGATGAATATCTGTAAAAATATGACGAAGAAATTCCGCTTTATGTAGGACGGAAAAGATAAGAATGGAGTAGTTGTTGCCTTGTTTTTCTAGATTCAATTTACATCTGTTTTGATAAAAAGTTGAAAACCGAGCGAAATTAGGATAGTTATACATTTCATATATAAAAAATATATAGTGAGACTTTGAAAATGACAAGTGTCTAGTGAATTTAAATGAGCTCATCTATTGTCTACTGTTTTTGAAGCTTCATCAAATTTTCTATTTCATTGTCATGAGGGTGTCAAAATTCTTATTGGTGAATATTTACATGACATTCTGTAATTTGGATAATAGTTTCAGTTTTTTATCCAATAAGTGTGATGTATATTTTTCTTTATTGAACATTTTCATTTTTTGTTACATTTGTTAATATTTCACTTTTCAAAATGTTTATCTGTGTCTTTTTGATACAAAACATGATTGAAAAAAAAAGTTGACGTCTTTTATCTTTGTTTATTTTGTCGTTTATTCGTCTATATGTTTGGATACGGAAAAGACTCTTGTAAAGACTGCTTCTGATGCAGAAAATTAATAAGAAAGAAAGAATGTAAAAACCGAAAAGATAATAATAGCAGAGAGAGGAATACAGTGGGCAATCAGGCGAACATTTAGAAAAAAAGTCAAAATTTTCCTTTTTTTGATCGTCAAGTTGGAGATGATAGCTATCTTTTCCTAGAATATAAGTGAATAAAAGAACAGTGGGAAAATCTAAACTAGAATCCTCTCTCAAAACCTGATCATAATAGCGAAAATTTATATTATATTATTAATGCGATATGCTTCGCACCGCATATCGCACTATAGTGTTCAACTGTGTTTTTACTTTCTAGACAAAAAACGTGTCATTTTCTGTAACGATCTTCTTGTAAACTAGAATGGCTACTGCAAAATTTTAAACAGGAGCAGCAAGCTGTGAGACCGAATTAGTAAATGTCCACTTTTGAGACTTTGTGGCTAATCCAGTCATTAACTAGAAGGTTCGAAAGGTGTTTTGTATGTTTGAGACTTGTAGTTTTTCCAAAAACAAACGAATAATTAATTTGACGTGAGTCATACTGACATTTTTAAAGCAGTGTTCGCATATCATGTGATTCACTTTATGACCATGTTCTGTATGTATTCCACGAATAGCTAACGCAATGGCTAGCCACCCTTTTGAAATTTCTTGTACCCAAGCTCTTGGCCAAGATCTTGAGTACAAGAAATTTCAAGATTTCGAGTAAAGCCACTCAAGATGTTGCAAGAGCGAATGACAAACTTTCTTTACATTTTGCTTTTATTTATGACAGTCGTAGCCATTGGATATACCACTGTATAGAGTCGTAGATTCTTCCTTAAAGAACTATGGTCAAGAAGGGAGAGACTTTCCTCTTCAAAATGAAATACCATTCGACGTCATTTGATGTTTTAGTTAAGACAATTCTCGAGCACGCTATCCTCTGTAAAATTTTTGTCTTAGACGCGTTTAGCATTCCTGGCAGATGAGTTGGAACGCGTTTAGAATGAAATTTGGACGCATCGAAATGCGTCTAAAACGCATTTTTTTCAAACGCAAACGTTTACATGGAATGTGTGTTATATAAAAGGTAGTCGATGTACAATGTTCTAGTGATACCTCTTCAGGTATCAAGTTTATTTAAAGTTCAGCACTATTCCATTTTTACTCCGCATAATGACTCTAGTTATCAATTAGCTGAGGAGCGTATTCTATCCCGTAATGGAGAAAAACTTTCTCATCACATATACGATTGGTGCATTCTCTTAATCACACTAGTGTGTGACCCTTTTTATCGATAACAAAGAGTAACAGTCACGACACTGTTGCAATTGTTTGGAGTCGAAATCGCTATCAGTATGAATCTATTATTAAAATAATCCAACATCGGAAAATTCATCGGTCAATTCTAACTGGCGCTAATACAGGGATTGGCAAGTAAGGCCATACCGTTGGATATATCGACAGACTAGGAAGTGTAACTGACACTCACAGATTTTTTGTTCATTTTCTTTAAGTTTAACTTTGTAAGTGGTATCGTTGTGTAGTTCAATGAAAATAAGTGACTTTCCTGTGATATTAATGCATTTTCTTGGCTGTCAGGCGCTGTTGCTAAACAAGTAACTTTTTCATGCCGAATTTTTCCTATCTAGTCGATCTGTTTTTTCTGAATAAAATAACATGAACTGTCAGATTCAGTCAGATGAAAACGATGAGTATGAACAGTTAACATCCGAGAAGCAGAAACTCAATCAAAGCGATGCTAGTTTTGATGGTAGTAAAAATCTATAACAAGGAACAACTTCTTTCTATTAAACTTTCTTGATAAACGTTTAGTGAGCTAAAAAACATTTTCTTTTTAGTTTTTCTGCTAAGTGAAATAGTAGAAGTAATCTGAAAAGAAAAGTACAATCGCAGAAGAAGAAATCCGAACTCGCTTGTTAGACCCGCAAGACTCTAGTTGACGATATTTTTATTATTCATTATAGGAACCGGCGATTTTTTTTGAAATCGCGATTAATTGAAAATGTCTCGTCAATTTTGCCGACATTATTGGGCTTTTCTATTTGTTTCTTAATCTAGTCTACGCAATATCTAAAACGTCCGATTAACTTATTGAGCGACATCTTAAAGTTTTTATTATTGATCAAGCAACAATCAATGATATTTTACCATGGTAATAATGATTCATTTGCTTATGGTGTTCTTCACACTTGTTTAGGGGAATTATACATGCCTCAGGGACTACTAAAAAAAACAAGTTTTTCTCATTTAATAAATGTGTTTTTGGAAGCAGTGTAAGGTCCTTTTTAGTTGTCTCGCACGGTTGTTGAAGTAAGAAAGGAGGAGCATGAGAGCAAAAAAGTACTTTATTCTAGACTAATTTCTCAACCCAATATTGTATTATTATATCTCATTATTGTTTTACTTTAAAGTTAGTTCAGTATTCACACTTTTAGTCTCGACAGGAATACTCACAGATGACCTTATATGAAACCTTCTAACAGCAGATACTTTTTTTAGAGAAAATTCAAGCTATTGATTGATAAAACAATTCTGCATCGAACTGCAGTGTAGACTCAGAATTTGTTTTTATTCAATTCGTTTATATGCCTATTCTAGATTAGTAAAGCCCGACTATATGACTGCTAAAAGTATAACCCGAACAGTCCTTATTACTGGTTCAACAAGTGGTATCGGACTGGGAATTGCAAACGTATTTGCTAAAAACAAGTATAATATTATCTTTAATGGACTAGGTAATTGATAATGGTCTCAAATTTCAAATAACCATTCTTTCTAATATTCTTTTCTCTATTTCAGAAGCTGAAGGTAGTGCAATTGCATCTTCGATAGCGAAAGAAAATTCAATTGATTATTTATATTCACCCGCAAATGCTATGCGCTCAGCGGAACTAAAAACCATGGTCGATGAAGGTCTAGCTAAATTTGGTCATATTGATATTCTGGTGAATAATGCCGGTGTCCAACATGTCGCACCTATTGAAGATTTTCCAGAAAATAAGTGGGCTCAGATTTTACAAATTAATTTGACTGCTTCCTATCTTCTAACAAAATATTTATGGAAACAAATGAAACAACAAAAATTTGGACGAATTATTAATATAGCATCAGCACACGGACTATTTGCTAGTGAATACAAATCAGCGTATGTAGCAGCAAAACATGGTCTCATAGGATTTACAAAAGTCGCAGCACTCGAAGGTATCAACGAAAAGCAGTTAGAATTTTTTTCGGCTAATTCAGATTACTATTTTTTTCGTTAGGTGCTGCATTTAACATTAATTGCAATGCTATATGTCCCGGTTACGTGCGTACACCACTTGTTGAATTACAAATTCGAGATCAAGCCAAATCTCATGGAATACCAGAAGGCGAAGTTATTACGCGAGTCATGTTACAAAAACAAGCAGTGAAAGAATTTGTACCTGTTGAGTTAGTGGGTAATTTAGCGCTATTTTTAGCTGGTGAAAAAGCAGGAACACTAACTGGAACTGCTATTCCAGTCGATGGTGGTTGGTCAGCACAATAATTTATTCTATATTTTTTTTCTCTGTTTACTTCTACACATAATACATTATAGAATTAGCTTTATTTTTCTCAATTTTTTTCGTATTCGCAGTACTATGTTTCTGATTTTCTAAATCTCAGCCGCTATCTTTTTTAGAAGAACAGTAGATCTGAACAGAAAACTGTTTTCCAGTATTACCCATATTTATTGTTTATTAGTGTTCCATTTTTATTAAGAAACATTCCGTTTCTCCTTATCTATGCAGAATTGATGACTTCTTTATTCAGGATACAAACAACAAAGGAGAAAATTTTTATAGTCATTGAGCTTTACATCCTCTAGTCTTCTTAATTAAAGAAAGAAAGGTAGCCTTATTTATTTTTCTACATTGAGACTGCGTCGAAGTTTTAAAGAGAGCACGTTGTCATGGTACACCAACGATGCTACAATGATATTAGTGTAGACCTAAAATAGGTTTTGTTGTTCGAATATATGTTTTCTCGGGAGGAAAAAATTTCTGTGCAAGGATTTTATTAATAAAATCTTACTACAGCCTCTCTTCTTCATATAAGGGAGACAAACAAAAACATTATAAATGTCGAATGCTTTACAGATGGTTTTATCGCTTTTATTTAATTAGTGTTGAAATTTCGTTAGTAGAATTAGAATAAGTCTCTGCTTTGTACCGTTCTAACCTCACTCACTCACTTTCTCAAAGATTTGTTTAAATTTTTTCTCTATATTTTTTGTAACGAAATTGATTGCTGTGCGTGTGGCGTGACTTACGATTTGTTTTTATGATATGTCTTTTCCGATCTCACAAAAGTGGTTTTTCCCAATAAAAACAATCACCTGAAACATAGTCAGTTATATCCTGCATATGTCAAAGTTGAACGTGATCTCTCTATGATGCCACACGTGGAAAGAATTTAATGTTTTATATCTTAGGAACACTCTTCCCCTATCCCACATTTCTGAAGAATGGCTTATGTCCGAGCATTGACATTCGCCATGAGAATAGATCTCAACTAGAACTGAAAAAGCTCTGCTAGCCATGTTCTTTAGAGATGCTTAATTTCTCTGCTATAAATGTTGCAACAGTAAAAAATTGTTGTTTGTCGAAGCAACATATCATCCAGAAGGATTTGACCAATCGGATTGAAATTTTTACCATACCCTATAAAAAAAATTCCAGTGCGGCACTGGTAAAAATCAGTGCGCACCGGTGCGCATGGCATGCCATCGGTCATTGGCACTGGCTGGCACCGGTGCGCACCCGTGCCCAGCAAGTGTCGAACCAGTGGCGATTGGCACCCGTGCGCACCGGTGCCGATATATTTCTGCTGAAAGAGTGCTGCATGGGTGCCGCACTGGCAAAAATCAGTGCCGCACTGATAATTTATTTAATCAATTTAATTAGTTCTTTATTATGGTTGTTTATGCTGAATTTTGTGTTAGAGTGCGGCACTGATCAGTACCACATCGACATGCCAAAACCATGCGGCATTG